CCCATGCACGGGGCGATCGGCGGTAGCTCGTTAACGGAGATTTGCCGTGTTGTGGTGTTAAGGTCATTTCAACGAGATTAACCTGAAAGCACTAGTGGGAACACAACGAATATGACTGCACATTTACGCCGACATCATCCTAGTGCAAAGACAAAAACAACAAGCATGCTACTAACTTTAGCCGAGTCATTTAGACAGCTGTTAGCACATGATTCTCCTTATGCTGCTGAGAACATAGCCCAGAAGAAGCGGATAGTATAGCTTTTATTTTGGAAAGAGACATTTCTCTGTAATAAACTCTCTTTTCCAAAGATGAGTGATTCCTCAATCAGATATAGGGCTTGCAATATTGCTAGCCTGACGTCCTGGGGCTAGCGATTTTTTCAGTCGGGCTACCCTGCCCGTCGGGCTATTGTAGGAAGGAAAAATATATGTCAATGCTTTTGCATTCTTTCAGAAATGTAGCTGGGTAATTATGTCATTGGCATCGGTGAGCCACTGTCAATATGTGACATATTGAAATCGCGTTTGAATTTGCGCTTGTTTTTTTGCTTTCACTTTGCAATCGTGCGAACTGTGTATAGAGAGCGACAGCACTGATCTGTGAGTGATGATAATTTGCGCACCAATTCCTCTGACATCGTCTTATTAATCGTTAGCTTACTATGCAAACATGACAAGTGAAATCTCCCGCAGCAAGCTTAAACATGTGAGAGGTTGATCGCGCAGAGAATCGCTGAGCTTATGTGAGTGAGCGTGCAAAAGCATTTCAGTTCTGCTGAGCCAAATAAGACAGGTCAGGGTGAAGAAGTGACAGCCAAAGAAAAGCTTACCACAAAACGGAGAAGTTATGACAAATCAGACTATAAGGCAAAAAGAAAGTGCAGCTTTATGGTTTCATGGACAAAATAATTTCTGTGGCTGCAATATGACGAGCTAAATAACCAGGGCTGCACATAAGTGGTCCGCAGGTGCGCATTCGCTGTCAAAATAAAAAACACGCACAAGGGTTAGGGTTAAATTTAAAAACTGTACTTTTGAGTTAAAATATATATTTATAATTTTAATAAATGACAAATTAAAAAGGCATGAACATTTTTTTTGTATCGAAAAAATATCGAACCGTGACACCAAAGTATCGAACCGAACCGAACCGTGAATTTTGTGTATCGTTGCACCCCTAATATATATATATATATATATATATATATATATATATATCATGTCTCACTCTGTATATTTTATTTTATTTATTTTATATATTTTATTTATTGTTTACTCTATTTAATTTGTAAAATATGTGTACACACACACACACACACACACACACACACACACACACACGTAGAAAAATATTTAGTATACACATCCAGAAATGCATATACTATTATATATTGTACATATATTTATTAGTTTCAGATGTAGCCATTCTTGTATTTTGCTTGTTTACATTATTGTATTTTGCACAACTCTGTTGCTTGTGAAGCTCGCACACAAGAATTTCACTCACATGTGCTGTACCAATGTACCTGCACATGTGATGTGACAATAAAAGTGATTTGATTTGATTTGATATATATATATTAGGGGTGCAACTAGGGCTGGGCCATATTATACCGTTCACGGTAATACCGGTATAATGTTAGGCAACGATAGGAAAATGAAATATCGCGATAGAATGGGAGTAAAACGCGCATGCGCAGTGCCTTTGTTTTCATACGCACATGGCCGATTGTTGAGTGAAACAGATGAACCAGAATTGGTTTGTAAAAATGGTGCAACTTCCGTGATGTGGAACTGGTTTGGTGTTTGTCCGTCAGATACACAACAAAGCACATTTTTTTGCAGAACATGCAAGCGGCCGTTGTTATTGTCGTATTTGTCGGACTAAGATGCTCTTAAATCTGGGAGTAATCTGGGTCCTAAACTCCGTATTCTTCAGGTCAAACAACACTGCAGCATAACTAACGGTGTGTTCACACCGAACGCGATGGACGCGAATAGAGCGTCAGGTTTACATGTAAAGTCAATGGAAAGGCGCGATGACGCGCGATTGCGGGTCCCGCGAAAATTCGGAAGCAGATTTGCGTCGCGAAAACGCGAAAACGCGTGAAACGCGCGTCAGTGTAGCGCGTCTGACTCGCGAATAAAACCACGCGCGTGAGTTTTTGTGTTGCATTTTGTGCATACGCGCGTTTCGCGTCTACCGCTCGAGTTGGAAAAATATGAACTCCAGCGTCAAATCGCGCCGCGACAACCAATCAGGAGCCTGGTGACGTGGCTGTTACCTAGGTCAAAGGGGCAGATCCAGCCAAAGCCTTTCATACTTCAATGGAGGGGAAGGCTAATCAATGCGGTAGCAAACAACTCGGAGCTGTACAACACCAGCTGCTTTCAGTACCGAGACAGGAATAAAAAGGACCGAGCTTGGAGGAAGATATGTGAAGAGATCGGGCAACCTGGTAAGTTCATTCATTTCTCTTTTGAAAGTTTTCACTGACCCGGGGAAGTCGCACAAAAGCTAGCAAGCCACCGCTATTTTCCCACTGACGTACAAATACCGTTCTGCTTTTATGCATGTTGTCATTTAGGAATATATTTTATTGTTTATTAATAAACAGCACACAGTGGTCCCGCTGTTCATCCGTCACTGCTTTGCTTTTTCGCTGATTTTTTATTGCACAGTACAGCATTGCATTCTGCAGCCTGATTGACAAATCTCCTGCGCTTGCCAAATTTATCACGTTTGGTTTTGATAACCATCACGTCCAATAGAAAAAACAGCACAAAAACACCCATAACTATGAGCCTCATTCGGAAATAGACACCTGCACCGTGAGGGAAAAAGGCGCACGAAAGTGGCGGGCAGATGAAGACAAACCGCGGCATATTAATACTTTTACGTTTTGCAATCTACAAAGGTTTGCACTTTGAGAACCAATTGTGAGAACTGTGACCAGGGGCTAGTTATTCTGAGAACCCCTGCAATAAATGAGGGACCACTGTCTACTCTATGATTATTATATTCAACCTGTTAACATTTAATACTGTATTGATAGAACCAACTGATTCTGCAGCAGAGCATCCCCAGTCCCTGAGCTCCTGCTGCTGCACCCACAGGTATGTACAGCAAGCACTGATACCTTTTTAGTCGGTGGGATTCCCTTGTGATCACCTTTACTAAATATCTACAACCAATCTGATTATATCCTGTTATTGTTTTTTTTTTTTCAATGTTGAAATTAAAATCTAGTAGCAGCCTTCTCATTTCTTTGTGTTTTGTGCTGTTTTACAGGCCCACAGAGGAGGACGGCTCCGAGGCAGATGAGGGACGGGTCCCAGGACGGTCCATCAGCGGTGGAGCTGGCCATCCTGGAGTCCCTGAAGAGGCCACACCAGTCTCCAATGGAGCATTTCCTCCTCAGCCTTGTTCCTGCTCTGGAGAGCAGCTGGTCCTTTTTATTCCTGTCTCTCTGTAAATACTTATATATTTATGTTTAATGTTTTTCTGTTTGAGAATTTTAATATTATTTCAAATAAATGTTTATAATGACTAATGTCTCAGTTCTACTACACAGCAAATGTTGGCACACAACTTGACACATGTAGAATTTATTTCATATTATACTAATGACAAAATATACTGATACAGTGGGATGCAGAAGTTTGGGCAACCTTGTTAATAGACATTATTTTCCTGTATAAATCGTTGGTTGTTACAATAAAAAATGTCAGTTAAATATCATACAGGAGACACACACAGTGATATTTGAGAAGTGAAAAGAAGTTTACTGGATTTACAGAAAGTGTGCAATAATTGTTTAAACAAAATCAAGCAGGTGCATCAATTTGGGCACCACAAAAAAGAAATGAAATGAATATTTAGTGTATATCAATGTGTGTGTCTCCTATATGATATATGGGGTGCCTTTGTCTGGACGTGCTTCCCATCCAGAGCTGCACAGCACAGAGGAAAGTTCCAGCGCTCCTGGAATCCCTCTGTGATGGAGCGCCAGTCTCCAGGTGAAGGCACAGCCATGAAGTCGTCCACTAGACAGTCCCAGATGGACGTCGCTGCCTGGGGGGTGATCTGGCTCACCGTGGACACACCGACTCTGAAACTGAACGCGATGGTCCTGAAGGAGTCCCCGGTGACAAGGATCAATAACAATTTAAAATTTATAATTTACAGTTTGATGATTTAAAGTCTCACACACAACCCGTCGAAAGGGGAGAGGGCCGGCTGCTTCCAACAGAAGATAAAGTGGAGGGTCTCAAACTGGCAACCTTATCCACAAACAAATTAAGAAACCTATTACACATAACCTCAGAAGATTGCAAAAGAACATGATCCTCTGCATTCAGTACAGAATTAATGGTATTATACAGAACACGAGGGTTATGTGAATTAACAGCAATAAGTTGTGAAAAATAGGAGTTTTTGGCGGTCTTTACTGCCCTCTGATAAGCTTAATATCTGATCGGTCCATCTCTAGTTCAAAGATGACGCCAGTGTGTACGGCAGGCCGTCCTCATCTCTGTTGTCGATCTCTTTTCCTTGATATTTGTTTATTTTTTGTTATCTTTCTGGCACCAGGGCTGGACTGGTACAAAAAATCAGCCCGGGCATTTTGACTAGAGACCGGCCCACCAGGTACTATAGGAAAAACCATAAAGCCTTTGAATGAAAACAAACGTCGTTGTGACAGTGATGTACACTGACTTGTTGGTACATATGTATCCATCTAATAAACTTAAACCTACACCATCCTCCCTATTCTGGTATTCTAAACAGTACTTAGCCGAAACCCAAAGACTGCTTGGTTGAGTTAACCTCCTGAACTATCTACAACATATGGTGGAAACCTGAAATTAAGACAGAGAAGACTAGAGGTGAGACATGACCATTACTGAATATTAAAAATAATAAATGACAGATTTAGTGATATTTTCATAAACTATTTATTTACCACATCAATAAACAGCATGGCAGGGCAAAATATTTTTTCTAACATGGCAACCTTTAAAAAGTGAAAGGAGACAGAAAGACAGGTGAGAAAGATCGCTGGTGAATAAAAACCTTCATCTTAAATGACCTCTTCCTCACCTCTCGGCTTGATGCTCTGTTATTGACTGAAACTTGGATTCGTCCTGGTGAGTCCTCTTCCTTTTCAGAGCTACTATCTCTGGACTGTGTGTTCTTCAGTTCACTGAGACCCTCGGGAAGAGGTGGAGGCATGGCCTCTGTTTTTACCGCATCCAATTTAAAATACTGCTGCTCACGTTTAAAATTACCAACAACACAGCACCGAGCTACCTTAAGGAACTCCTTAAATCGTATGTTCCTGCCAGAGCATTAAGATCATCTACTCAGTTACTCTTGGTGCAGCCTAGATCTCGGCTGAAGTCTAGAGGTGACCGAGCGTTTGCCCTGGCTGCACCAGAGTTGTGGAATAACCTTCCGATTGTGATCCGGGCGTCTGATTCCATCCAATCTTTTAAATCACGGTTAAAAACCTATTTGTTTAATCTCGCCTTTCCTGCTTGTTAATGCTCGCACCTGACTTTTAGACTTACTCTATTTTTTCTTATACATATTTTTTTATGGCTTGTGCTTTTATTATGTTTTTATTTTGATATGCATTTTATATTACCCCTGTTTATTAGTGGCATTGACCTGTGAGTATATTTGATACTTTGCTAAAGCGTTATAATACTCGTGTTACTTCTCCGTCTCTTATGTTAAGCACTTTGGTATACCGCTGTTTTTAAATGTGCTCTATAAATAAAGTTTGTTGTTGTTGTTGTTGTTAAAAACAAACTTAAAGTTCGGCAACTGCCCTCTCCTACCTATTCTAGTTTTGAGGTTCAATTATTGGAGCTTGCTGGACCCCCAACGATTCTATGTGCTATGATTTATCGACCACCTAAATATAATAGGTCTTTTATTTGTGAATTTGCTGACTTCGTGGGTTCATTTTTACTAGGTTATGACCAAGCTCTTATTACTGGAGATTTTAACATACATATTTGTTGTGCTGATGACCCCCTAGCCAAGGATTTTCTTGCCTTAATTGACTCTTTTAACCTTACACAGTGGGTCTGGGAACCAACTCATCGTAAAGGCCATACTTTGGATTGGTTCCTCTCATATGCTTTGGATATTTGTACTATGGACATTGATAATGCTGGTATTTCTGACCATTTTTTGGTCATGTTTGATGTTGAGCTGTGTGCAATTGATTTAAATTCTAAAGGCTGTCATCGCCCTGTACGTATCATTAACTCTGAGACTGTGGCTAACTTCATTACGGCATTTCTAAACTTTGCCTTTTTTGATCCAGATTTCACTGATATTAACTGTTACACACCTCCCTTGGTTGATGATTTTGCCAACGCTATGCTATCCACCTGTTGTTCCATCTTAGATACTGTGGCCCCTATAAAGATGAAACGTCCCAGAACTTCTTATCAACCAAGCCTAAATGACACTATACGAGCCTTACGTCGTGTCTGCTGTAAATCTGAAAGGATTTACAGCAGACACGACCTATGACATTCTTTGTAGGAGCCGCTTTCTATACCAGAACTCCGTAAAGGCAGCTAAAGCAGCTTAAGATATTATTGAGACTAATAGCCACAACCCCCAAATGTTATTCAAAATTTAATTCAGTGATAAATCTCTGTCCGGACTCTTTGAGCTCGGCCTCTCAGGCTCTCTGTGAGCAATTTCTTAATCATTTTAGTGGAAAAGTTTTATTACTGAAGGCTTCACACTCTCACTGTCTTGTGCTGAACCCTGTTCCGGTTTTAGGATGCATGTCCACCTTTTCTCACTTTGAGCTGTTATCACTCCCCACTCTTAAGGGAATAATTGAACAATTGAGAAACTCAAATTCTGTGCATGATATCCTTCCATCCTGAATTATCAAGGAAGGTCAAGCTCAACTCAGCACAGACACATTGAGGAACCAGACCAGACATAAAAACCAGGATAAAGAGGTTCAGTGAATGTGGTGTTGAAGGTGTGGAGGTGGATCAGAATGTCAGAGGAGACTCTGTAAAAGGACAGCGTGCCAGCAGGAAAGTCCACATACACTGCTACTCTGTTAGGGACAGAGGACGAGAAGGAGGAGGAGATGGATGTTTCTTTGTTATTGTGCCAGACAGAACGAGGACCATCACCAGAGCAAAGCAGATTCCATGATTGATCATTCCATCCAAACACACAGTCATTACTCCCTCCTTTCCTTCTGATTCCACTGTAACTCACTGATATATAAATGTCTCCTCTGCACTCGACCTCCCAATAACAGCGACCAGTCAGACCATTTCTACACAGCAGCTGAGGATGAACATCAAATCTGTCTGGATGATCAGGATATGACTGCTCCTCTATCACACGTGTCACCTTCCTGTTGTTGTCAGACAGTTTAAGTTCTCTGTGTACTGTGTTTGTGTCGATTGTGAGTTGACAGGAATCTGATGGAGAGAACAAACACAATCCAGCTGCAGTTATTGATCCATCATTTGTTCATTGATTGACACTTTAATGATGACTCCTGACATCACAGATGTGAATGAGTGATGTGACAGTTTGAAGATGGTTGAATGTGTACTGCTTTGTTTTCATGAATCACATTAAATACACACTTACACTTCTTCAGCCCTGGTGTCAACCATTGGACTCCAGCAGGCTCCACCCTGAAAGGAGGAGGGGGGTCAGACCAGCACAGTCTCTTTCAGCATGCACACATGGACATTGCATCGCTCTCATATACATACTGTTAGATACTGATAAAGGAACAGTCCAACATTTTTACAACTACACTTAAATCCATATGTGGATCAAACTGCTGATGATCTGGATCTATCGCTATAAGTATCAGTATGAAATATGACTGATTCATTGGTAAATGGCCTGTATTTGTATAGCGCTTTACTAGTCCCTAAGGACCCCAAAGTGCTTTACACATCCAGTCATCCACCCATTCACACACACATTCACACACTTGTGATGGTCAAGCTATATTGTAGCCACAGCCACCCTGGGGCGCACTGACAGAGGCGAGGCTGCGGGACACTGGCGCCACCGGGCCCTCTGACCACCACCAGTAGGCAACAGGTTGAAGTATCCAAGCTGGGGCTCGAACCGGCAACCTTCCGATTACAAGGCGAACTCCCAACTCTTGAGCCACGATCGCCCCCATCTTTATATTCCTCTTCTCCTGGAAAAGACACCTCCCTGCCTTTGCTGCCAGCTGTTTTTCTCCTCTTGGTGTCAGTGTGGTTACTGTACATGACCTCTGACCTCTGAGTGAGTGCAGCATCCCCATGCAGCATAGCATGTATTTATTTTATTTCCATTTTATATTAATCCATATTATATATTCTATATTTATATATGTGCATATTTGTATATATGGTATATTTTTGCTTATATCCTTACTCTCATCCCCCTTTATTGTATCTGTAACATGTAATTTCTGTCGGTGCTATGCTACTGGAAACTGAATTTTCCTTAAGGAACCCACCCGAGGGATTAATAAAGTTTCATCTAATCTAATCTAAGAGCAGCAGAACATTCAGTCTTTCATCCCCTAACTGCTTCATCATGATTTAACACACTTGATCCTTCTAGGGGAAGTACGTTTTATGCATTTATGAGCTGCTTTGAATTCACACTTTACAAAATTAACATTAGATCTATCATCTTCTCCAGGATTTTCCTGATTTTACATTTCAACATGATTTGTTTTTGTTCTCTCTCACACCAATCTTCATCAGTTCAATTATTTCCACAAAGGATTTGATTAACTTTTTTAGCCAGGATCTCTGCTTTTTTGAATTCATACTTCCTATTGTTCCTTGACCTACTAATACTGGATTCTGCAGTTGTTTCCTGACTCCACACATTCTCAATAGGTGTGCTTCTTCCTAAATTACTGCAGTATTCCTGCCAGTATGTTCTTTTAATTTTCCTCTTTCCTCATTACTGCTGAGCCTTCTTTATATTGTGTTTCTTTTAAGCTGCCTGAATGCTCTTTCTGTCCTTTACTGCTGCATTCGGTACCATTGTCTTCTGTACTGTTCCTCTACTCACTTGGACAGCTTCTTCAACTGCATTTATTCTAAGATCAGTCAGCTTTTTATGGATATCATCTCCGTCCTCCTCCATCCTAACATCATCTTGATAATTTTGTTTGAAATTTTCAAAAAATAAAACAAAAACAAACCCAAAACAAAGACAGACACAAACTGGCTCAGATGCATTACAGGAAAAAAAACAATTAATTCAAACAAAATTGCACTTCACAATACAGAATAAAATACAAAAAGCTGAAGTTGATAAAAGTTTACAAATCTGAGTCTAGTTCAGCCCAATCTGGATTTTGCAAAGTATTCCTAAAAGGGGTTCCAAACTTTCAGAAGAGAATCTTTTGAGTCTTTGCTGAACCTTTCCATTTGTATTATGGACATCATGTCTGTTACCCACAACTGAAAGGAAGGAGGGGTGGGGGACTTCCATTCCCTCAGTATTAATTTCTTGGCGACAATCAAACCTAGCTCCAGTGGCTCCTGCAGTTGGGAGTAGCTCTGACGTCAGAGAACACCCAAAAATTACAAGTTCAGGTTCGGGCTGTAGAGGATTCATATATGCCTTGGAGTACCAGTCAAATATTTTAAACCAAAAGCCTGTTAATGAGGGACAAGACCAAAAGGCATGGAACAACGTACCTTCTGTCTGTCTACACCTGTCACATATTGGGGAGACAGAAGGAAAAATTTTGTGCAGTCTGACCTTAGAATAGTGTAACCGGTGGAGGATTTTAAATTGAATTAATTGGTGTCTGCTGTTTATAGAGCAGGAGTGGATTTTGGACAGACACTTCAGGCACCTTCATCCCCGATTCTTTCTCCCAAGCCTGCCTAGTCCCAACGGTATGCACTACAATAGAGTCACCAAATAATTGTATAGTTTTTGTGATAAGATGTCTGGAATCAGGTCGGCTCTTGAGGATTTCATAGATCCCGTGCTCCGATGGTAGAGTTGCAAAGTCTTTAAACTTGAATGGGATGTAATACTTGACCTGCAGATATCTATAAAAGTTTGAATGTGGCAGATTATATTTCCCTTTTAGTTGACCAAATAAAAAAGATTTATTATCAATATACATATCCTTAATAGACAGTAAACCCTTTTCTCTCCAGTCATGATAAGTCTTATCTTGCCAAGGAGGCATAAAGTCATGATTGAAACATATTGGCATCTGTACAGATGTGTCTGGCAGTTCCAAAAAACGTCTAATCTAATTCAAGATTCTAATGGATTGTTTTAATACAAAACCCAGACATTTATAAGAGTCCAATTTTTCAAACTTGGTAAATAACATAGCCGACAGGGAGGAATTGTTCACTTATTCAGCTTCCAGTCTAACCCACAATGGGGGTGTTGATGCCTGGTCATCAGGGGAGTCCTGCTGCCAGAACACTAACACTCTGATATTAGCAGCCTAGTAGTAATGTTTAAAACTGGCAGGCCCAGCTCTCCTTCTCTCTTGGTTTTCTGCAAATGCACTTTAGAGATTCTAGCCCTTTTACTATTCCAAATATTGGACTGAATGACTGAGTCCAAATGTTTGAAAAAGGCCGCTGTAAGATAAATGGGGAGATTTTGATATAGATATAAAGATTTGGGAAGAGAAATCATCTTAATTGAATTAATGCATCCAATCATTGACAGAGGTAGTTTTTTCCAGTATTCAATGCTTTGCTTTAGACCACAGGTACTCAGTGAAATTCAATTTAAATATTAATTTGGGATCTCTAGGTATGATCAGGCCAAGGTAGCTTAGATGATACCTAACTACTTTGAATGGAACTTGCTGCAGGAATTCTGGCGAGCTGTTGTTGGAAAGAGGCATAAACTCACTCTTCGACCAGTTGATGGTATATCGTGATAATTTACCAAAAGCTGTAATCAGGCTGAGGAGCAGAGGAACTGATTGTTCAGCATCCTGCAAGTACAGTATTACATCATCAGCATACAAACTAATGATTCAACACCTCCAACCTGGAGCCCCTTGATATCTGGATGCTCTCTTATAGCCACAGCGAGAGGCTCCTAAACGATGGCAAAGAGTGCTGGGGATAGTGGACAGCCCTGCTGCACCGAGCGCTGCAGAAGGAATGGGGCAGACCGGTTGTTATTTGTCAAAATAGAGCACATTGGTTCTGTGTAAATCAGTTTCACCCAAGAAATGAAAGATTCACCAAATCCAAATCTGCGCAGTGACTCAAACATGTAAGGCCACTCGACCTGGTCAAATGTTTTATGTGCATTCATGGCTAGAGCAGAGGCTCCCTTAGAATTTTTATAGTCGGAATAGATGATATTGAGTCTAACATTGAGCCTAACATTGAAAAAGGAAAGTCTACCAGGGATAAACCCCATCTGGTCAGGATGAATAATGTTTGCCAAATGTTTGTTCAATCTAGCAGCCAGGATTTTTGTAACTATCTTACGGTCAAAATTTTGAAGTGCTATCAGCCTAAAGTTAGCAGGGTCAGTGTTACGTTCCCCTAAAAGAGTCAAGGCGATGAGAGAAAGTAACAAAAAATGTCGGAAAAAGGAGACAAGGAGGCAAAAGGGTTAAATTAAAGAGTTTTATTAAAGTTTCTATTAATAACTCAAGTGAAAGAAACGGACAAGCCGCTATCACCATTTAAGGAAACAAACAAAACTCAAGCGTTGGTCAATAAACTGAAAAGTAAGTCAAAAAAAGAGTTTAGTCACCAAACACTGGCAGGAGTAAACAGCCACCGAACGCAGCTCACTAGCTGCAAACACACAGCTCACTAGCTGCAAACACACAGCTCACTAGCTGCAAACACACAGCTCACTAGCTGCAACCACTAACATGGCACTCTGGCCCAGAGCTCACCTTTCTCTGGGCTTAAATACCTTTAATTGCTGATGTGAGTCAGCTGTACAAAAGAAAAAGGTGACACCTAAGGCATTAGAGCTGGTAGGACACGCCCACACAGGCTACTTCAGGAAGAGGCCCTGCTAGGGCCGTAACACCCCCTCCCATAAATACAAACCCATGGTTTGTCAAATGGTTCTACCCGTTACGATAACCAAAACAATTAATCAAGTCCATAACCGTTGCACCACCAAATTTGTAGGCTTTTCACCTGCCAAACCCCACAGCAACAGTTAGGCATTGCCTGCGGAAGCTGCCAACCCCATCTCAGTGGGTTTAAAACACTGACTGAGGGTGGCCCCAGACCGTCAAAACAGTCTCCCATCTGGTAGCCAGGAATTTTTTTAGCCATCACATGTGGAGAACCCAGCAGGCAACTAGAAGACCTTACTGGAACAGTTTTCAGATGATTCCTCAGGTCAGGGGTACAGGCATGTTTGTTAGCCAGGTGTGCAGGTCTGAGTGGTGGTGTTATACACAATCTGTCACACTGCAGGTTATTTTGAGGTCCTGAGAAATGGTCAACCAGTGGCAGCTCAGGGTTAGTTCACCTCTTACACTGACCACATGAGCCCCTTAAGCAACTATGCCCCAAGTGTGGTCTTTTGCTGGGCCTGACAACCTTGTCAGTTTGGGAACCACGACTGACTGTTTTCAAATCAGGACTTCTTCCCTTCGGATGCGTTTTCCGCTTAAGTGCCAGTTTCACACAATTAG